TTGGTTTAGAAGCTGCAGCTCTCGCTTCTTTGAGTGTGGACTCCAAATTTTGTAAGCACCTGTCTGAATCAAGTCTGAATTGCTGGAAATTTTGATAGGGGGGTAGCAGTACGTTCCAAAATAAATTGAAAATAATCCCAATTTGCAGAGATTAACTCCTGTAATTTTGAATAATGATTTTGAATATCTAAGGTTATCAAAATGGGATAGCGAACAGGGTCTAAGTTTTGAATCACTTTAATTTCATGCCTAAAATTAATATTATACAAAGCAGCCAGATCAAGAACTGCAGGGGACCCTCTAACAAGGTAGTAAGTCAGGACGGTAGGAGCTATGACCTGTACATGGTTACTCTGTCACCATAAATTTAGACTAATGACATACCTGTTAGGGCAAAACCATGCGGTATGATGTGAATTTAGATCACCAGCAATAATAAGGTGATTTGATATTGATAAAAGTTTATGAAAATCACTGACAGAAAAAGTATTTCTTCCACATGCAGTTGATTGTGGAGGTAAATATGCTGAAATGACTGAGAATTTTGGAGGAAAATTTTGATAATTTTCGCTTCCAAAACATTTAATTGTCTGAGCGGCATGACCAGTTTTATCCACTCATGAGATTTTTTGTCACTTGATACATATTAGCTTAAACTTAAGACATTTTGCTTATTTTCTTCAATAATGTAAATGTAATCTTAATGAAGATAAATTTATGAATAGAGGCTAAAATAAGTAATTATATAAATTTAGCTAATAAATGCTGCATAAATAGAGGGCTTCATGACAGCTCCAAAAACCTGTCTGCTCAGAAGGTTAAAGCTGCATTCATACATTCGCATGTAAAACGTTAACCAATCAGGAGCGATTTCAGAGGCGGTATTTGCCGAATGGCCGGAGACTACGTGAGTTGATTCAACTTCAACTTTTTGACACTTGACATGTCAGTTTTAGGTACCTCGTTTCAAACGTCCAGTTTATACCATGGTTTTTAAATGACTGCATTTTCAAAAATTCTTCTTGATGGGGGGGGGAAGATTAATCTTAATAAAAATTTCAGATAATAATAAAAAATGCATATATTAATAGAATAAATAGCTTTATAAATTATTTAAAGGAAAATTCTCTGCTAAATAAGTTTATTAGCAGTAATAAACCTTAATAATCAACCATAAATGATATATGGTTCATAATCTTTATAGAATAATCTAAAGCAATGGATTGTTGCTAGAAAATAGTGATCGATTTCAAAATTCCATATTTTGAATTTCTCTCAAATTTTATCTGCATCAATTTAAGGTTGCTCTTGTCGCCTAGTGTATAAAATGTTGGCTTCTTCAGTTAAAGATTTTGGATTCAAGCATCACCAGGAGTGGTGTTGTAATGGAGTTGGTATTTTAAAAAAAATATTTACAGAAAATATTATTGCTAGTTTCAGAGTAGCCGAAATGCTTCTTCAGTTTTCTGAAGGTGAAATGTGAAAAACCACTCCTGCCCATAAGAAACCTTAGCGTAGAGGTAACACGCTCAGTAGAAAGTTCAGCTTTTACTAAGGACTTGTCTTGCAGGTTCGGGCCTTGCTTTTTCCTAACTTTGATGATGGTACGAGCGCATTTTTTTTTTTTTTTTTTAATTCTACCATGACTTTTTTTAAAGGGGGTGGGCACAAGAAGCTTGCATTAATTTTTATTTCATTTCATTCAGCATTCATATAAACCTAATTTTCGCTCGGCATCGCATGCACTATCCTTTTGACATTCAGCTGACACGAGACTAGCAGAAGTGATACTGATATTAGTAGAAAGTTGTTGTTTCATCTAATTAAAAAATTTAGTGAGTTCTGAATTTAAAACAAGTGGTAACGAGTAAACCATTTGTTAAAAAAATTAAGAAAACTGTTATTTATACAGAAAAGAAGCTCACTAGTATGTAGCTGATTTTATGGAATACTACTGTGCATTTTAATGGCTTCATCTTTGTTTTTAATATGCATAACCACTTTTCAACAGGTTTAATCTTGATGATAATGTTTCATTAATTTCAACAATTTTTACATGAGCATTAGCAAATTTGCTAATTATGGAATTCAATTTTTAACGCAGGAAAAGAAGTATTATATAAAATGCAGTTGCTTCAATGAGTTCTAAATAAAAGTGACTTTATAAAATAAACCTTTAGATATTGGCTGTTCATTAATATATAAATGACTAATTGAAGTAATTACTGTTAAATTTAAAGTAAAAAAATATGTACATAAGGCAGAAACTAAAATATTAAAAAAATTGCTGTTGTTAATTACTTTAAAAATAACTGCTTTTTTTTTTTTAAGTGTAATATTTAATTTAGTAAATGCTGTAAATCCTACATACATTTAAACAAAATATATTTTATTTCCATTATTTAAAGCAATTAAGGGAAGTTCATACATCATGCAAAAACATTTATGGTATTCTACCCCATGAAAAATTTACTGTCCAAAATAGAATCGTGCAATTAGGATTTTTTAATTATGATTCAACAAAATTCATAAATAAATTAGACATATACAACGATCCTTTTCTGGGATATCCTATTCCTATTATCCAAACGATTCTTTTCTGCAATATTCTGACAAAAATTAGTGTTCTGCTTTTGACTAAATAGTTCAATGAGTGCTAGAAATTCATCGAATTGATGAGGTGTCATGCGCAATAAATTAAAAGAAATTTCGTTTCATTCAAGCGCATTTCTTCAATTAAATTATTCGCATCTTCTTGCTGCAGTCATCCCTCACATATTAATATAAACCACTGCATTCTGCTTCTTTTACACAAAACAAGAAGTAAAATAAGTTGTAATTGAGCAGAAATTAAATCCATTTTAATTTTAAAATATAATTGTAAAAAGTCAAAATACCACACAAAAATTTCCCTTTTTTCCTCAAGTTTCCAATATGAAACGGCATCTAGTGCGAGCATATGACAACTTTTAAAGCGAAAGTTGCTGCGCTGGTGTGAACTGACATACGCGGAAAGCTTTTCCGTCTTGACGCTTCTCTCCCCAACGGACCAGTGTGAACGCAGCTTAAATTAGAGGAAGGTATCAAGTGATGCTCGATCGAATGCTTCACATAGGTGGCATCACTTGCTTGCCTGGCAAATGACACTCTGTCAGTGAGTACATGTCATAATTCCAAATTTTGGGAGATCTCCCTGGGGTTAAGAGAGTCTCTTGGACTAAAAACACATCAAGATCGTGCTCTGCAATAAAGTCTTTGACCTCACTGATCTTATTGATAAGGCTGTTAGCATTCCATGTGCAAATGGAAAGTTCTCTATTGCTGATAGAACTTTGTTGTGAACAATTGAATTTAAGGCCGTTAATAAAAATTAAAGGTTACAGCTTTAAAAAACCAAAGGTATGGGTCGAAAAGTAGCCAAATGGTCCTAATTTGAAAGCATTACATACTTTTTGTATAAGAGAAATGCCTTCATCAGGGCATCTGCCTGCCTAAGCTTTGGTAGGACCATTTGGAAGCCTTGCAGTAGAATATGCCTATCTACCACAGGGTCACAGGAGATTTCAATTAGGCATTTTAAAGTAGAGGAGAAAACATCCTCAGAGTCTCCACTTTCTACTTAAGTGACTGGGAGAGCTACAGGAGGCACATTCATCGTAGCTGCCGAATTTGGACCTCTGGTTTTGGGTCTAGGCTCTATAAGTCCATTGCCCAGGGTCACTGCTTATGACAGTGAGCTTGTGCTTCTAGAAACAGTTACAGGTTCTGGTGTAACGGTGTTTAATGGGGGTTTCCTGAGGAGGACCGCGGATGCAGCTGCCTTAATCAATTAGCTCTGTTGAACACCAATTAACACCTGAAATTTTGCAATGTTAAGAATTCCTGAGAACTCTCCCTTAAAGGGAAAATAAGTCATTCCCCCACTGGGTGCCTGGCCATTGTGGCAATGAACAAGCAGACTTCTTTGCAAAAAGAGGTGCCAGCTTACTACAACATCCTAATATAGCCATTGCTTATTGGAGGATTAAAAAAAAAAAAAAAAAGTTTAAAAAAAAAATATTTACATCTAGTATCTTATGAGATCTTCAGACTCATACAACCTGAAAAGGTTGGTCCGATAGTCCAAGATGCAATGCAGTTATACTTTCTGTCTGTCTACAGGACATGAATGCCTTGCCACCCACCTGCATGCATAGGTATTTCAACTGATCCTATTTACCCATTTTGTGATTCTGCAGGTGAAATGGCTAGGGACCACCTGCTCTGATGTGGGACTTTTCGCAGTCTTACAGAAGAGTTGAGGTACTGGGAGGAAAGAACGTTCTTTAGGCAATGTCTCCTAGTTCTTTTGCTTGTAACCCTGTTTATAAGATTTTAGTTTGTAACTTTTTGCCTGATCATTAGGAATAAAATATCCTGCTGGCTGCATGGGAGTTTTTTTCTCCCCAAGTGTAATGTGAATACAAGCCAGTTTCCTTTAAACTGTTCTCTTTAAACATAGCTCTTAATTTTGACAAATGACCCTTCCATGCTTTGCCAAAATCTATAATAATCCTAATAAAAAAATTTAGCCATTCACTCAGCCTTCCCTCCTTTATCCATTTCCATTCTCTTTTAGATTAGTTTAACATCAGTCTGCTATTTGACTTCTTTCTGTCGGAGATTCACTTTTCTAAGATATTCCATGTCTTAAAATATTCTTATGCTAAGCATCTTAGAGTTCCATTCCTAAGTACACACACCTGCTGTATCTAATTTACCTACTACAAATTTTGGCATTTGTTACTAATGCAGAATTTGGAATTGAAAATAATATTACGATAAGAATGAAAAGCACTTGCTACTTCTATGCACATGAAGTTATTGATGAAGATTTAATGCAAGCTATTGGATTTAAAGTTGAATTCTGTATCAAAGAGCTGGGTCAATCTCTCATTCCTATAAAAGTTATTGATTACAGAAACCAACATTAAAATCAAACTATGATTTAAGTAACTTACTTGATTTCCACCAGAACCATGACAATGGCTCATTCCAACAATAGACGGTGGATGAGAGCTCATAGTATCTAAGCACTGACCAGTTAGCATACTTCTAACCTGCAATGTAAATGATTAAATATAAAATAAGCATTAAAAAATAAGTGAACACAAATTCATTCAGAGAAAAGACAATGAATAAATCAAATAAGATTTCCATAAATTTTGAAGAAGAATGAAGGTAACTAAATTCTTATTTCAGCATGAATATAATAAAAGTAATAAAGTGTATCAGTTAGTTTATAACTGATACAGCTAATTTAGTTTTTCTTAGCAAGCAATAGTGTAAAAATTCAAACAGTCAACAAATTATAATAAAAACCTTAAAATAGTAAAAAATATAAAGCTGACTGCATATCTGCCACTAGCTACTTGATGAGTTTACATAAATAGTTGAAACTATGAAGCAGTGGCTTAACTCGCTGAATAAGTGAATTTTTCAGATATTTCAGATAAAGAAATAGACTTACATGAAAATATTTCCCATGAAGTTCGGATATTTTACTACTTTTATGATTTTGATTTCTTTGGGCTGAAACACAAAATTGATGAATATTGAAATTATAAAGTTTTTACAGCCTTCCAGTAAGTAAAACATTAATTATTTTGTTGGAAATAACAGAGATGCTAACAAGATAATCATAGTTGGAAATTTAATCCCAACTCTGGGTCTGCAAAAATTATCCAGAAAGCTTCTTCTGTTAGTGAATTGGATTACCTTGAAGCTTTTCATATTCACTAAAATTTATCTTGATTAATCAATGACTTTTAATTCCTTCCTTCCTATTTTAAAATTATATTAACTTAATTTTCTTTATTATTTTTGTAGACAGATGGCACTACCTTCTCATTCGTTTTACTCTTTCGCTTTTAGTACAAATGTCGCTGCGCCTTCTACATCTGTTGCACATTTCTTTCCTCCTGATGGAGAGGGACCTGTACCTGTTCGTCCTTGAAATCGATAGAACCTTAATTAAAATCTACGCTAAACACAAGGTTATTGCTTGCCTGGTTTTAAATAATAATTCTATAAAGTGTATTAGAGCTCATACAAATAAGCATGCATTAATACCCGTTACTATTAATAATGATATTGAAATACAATCTTTGCAGACATAACAGTTATTCAACAATTTTATATTTCAGCTGATGTAATTATGACAGATGGACGATCCGCTCTAGAAGCAAATAATTTCACTGAACAAATGATCAAACGCTTAGACAAAAATGGAATGGTAGTTCTTTAACAGTTCAAAGCTGTTGTTGGAAAGAGTGCCGAAAATTTCATTTCTCTTAATGCAAACACTTGCAGTCTTTTCTTTATTATCCACCAGAAACATTTCTGATCTATTCTTTATGTGTGTGTGCAATGTATGTATATAGGTATGCCTTTGGCTTACTTGTGTTCCATCTAGTACTTAAAAAACAAAACATTAGATAAACCAATGCATTTCAGAGAAATTGACCACTCCTCTTTGCAAATGGATGGAATCCCCCCCCCCCAATTTAGCAGTATGAGGATCTGTTTAAAGTATGTAGATTATAGGACCTAGTCTCTCGGATTTCCAGCTGTCATATCTGTTGGTAGATTTGGCTCAGTTCAACTTTACAACTCTGCATTGACCTGGTAAGCAAAATTCGATTACTACTCATATTTCCCGTTTTCCAATATCATTGGTTTGTTTAATAGTTACTGCAAGCTAAGAGTAAGAAATTTGTGCGAAATAGATGCATAACAACCTTTATTTTTTGCTTAAAGAAGAAAACTTTAGTAAAGACAATGCTAGTCAAATGCAATTACAATATCATTATCATTAACATAATATCATTAACATTTTCCTTGTGTGAGTAAAGAACAATGGATTGAAATCTGTAGTAGTAATTCTGAAGGCAATGCAAGAACAAACTTTGATAGCTTGTCATGATGATGTCAGCCATACAGATGCCAAAATACTGTATACAATTTACAGCAATGCTACTGGTGGCCAAAAATGCAAAAGGATAGCAAAATATACATCTGAAGCTGCCACAAATGTCAAATTGACAACAGCCAAACTGCCAATGCCTATAGTTTATAGTAACAACTGTTGATTCCAACAACAATATGAAAGACTGGATTGACTGATCGTATCATCTGACTGCTACAAACATTAACATGCTTGTCCAGACTGAAAATCTCACATGTTATGTGGTTCCAATGCCTTCTGCATATCTCACCGCACATAAAATGATTGCTGTCCTGTATAACATCATACTTCGATATGGGCCACCAAGTGTGTACAAGGTCTAGCAGAAAGCTCTATCTGATCATGTTATTTCAAGTTTCACTGCACAGGTATGTGTTCATATGAAATGTATATGGCTGTCTCTCTTTATCATTGCATTTATACAGGGTGATTATAATTAAAGTTTAAGTTTCAAAACGCTATAAAAAAAGAACCACTGATGAAAATGATGTGAAATTTGAAAGGAATGTTATTGAAGAAGGCGGAACGAGTATGGCAGAAGAAAAAATTTAGTTTCAAAAGTTAGCAACAGATGGCGCTGTAAGCGGCAGAATCACGACGAGAAATGAGAAATGTTTCGTAAAACAACGGCTAAGGTGGAAGTTACACATTAAAACGCATTGACAAATTAGAATTGTTGAATAATTTTATTTGCATGACTGTACATATCACATCGGAAGGGACAAATCGGTTGGTTTCAAGAGTTTTGCGGCGGCATACCGCATAAGAACCATTCATCAAAGAAGTTCGGAACTGTCGCAAAACATGTTCAATATGGTGTCCACCGTTGTGTGCAACAAGTTGAAAGCGACAAACAGCATGTTCCACAACGGATCGCAGTGTCTCCGGGGTGATGTTCAGAATGTTTTGCGAAATGCGTGCCTTTAATTCCGCTAAATTTGCAATTGGAGCATGGAACACAACATCCTTCAGAGATATCCCCACAACCAGAAATCACACGGAGTAAGATCAGGCGATCGGGACGGCCAGGCTGTAGGGAAATGACGGCTGATAATTCGAGCATTTCCGAAATGGCGCCTCAGCAGCTGCTTCACGGGATATGCAATGTGCGGAGGAGCGCCATCTTGCATAAAAATGATTTCATTCACACATCCACGCTGTTGCAGAGCTGGAATCACGTGGTTGCGCAAAAGAGACGCATACCTCTGACCAGTGACGATTGTGGTAACAGGACCGGAAGCACCCGTCTGCTCGAAAAAATATGGTTGTAGGATGACTAATGCCGTAAAGCCACACCATACCGTGACCTTTTCAGGATGAAGTGGTACGGGGTGCGTTGCCAGTGGATTTTCTGTTGCCCATATTCGACAATTCTGGGTATTCACGTATCCTGTCATATGGAAATGGGCTTATGGTCTTATGGTCATATGGAAAGTGGATAATGAATGGCCGTGGAAAATTTCCAACGTCTCCCTAGCTGTCAGGTCAGAAGGAAGCAACTCCTGCACATGGCCAATTTTGTACAGATAGCATTGCAGGATGTTTCGTACCTGTCGTTTCGAATTTTTGCATCATTTTCTTTAGACCTACGACACTCATTGGACCAACGCCTTCTTTTATACCCTTCAGTGTCCTAAATTTTTGCAGAGCTACTCTTGCACAATCATCATTCTTGTAATACAGCTTTACCAGCAGAGCGCGGTCCTGCAGTGAAACACCCATGGCGAATGCCTGAGTCGCGAAATGAGGAACAGCCTGGTACCTGGCGGCTTTTTAAAACACTGAAATTTAACTAACATTTTAATTTACGTCTTCTTCTGCTTGCAGCGCCATCTGTTGGTAACTTTTGAAACTAAATTTTTTCTTCTGCCATACGCTTTCCGCCTTCTTCAATAACATTCCTTTCAAATTTGACGTCATTTTCATGAGTGGTTCTTTTTTTATAGCGTTTTGAAACTTAAACTTTAATTATAATCACCCTGTATATGTGTTCTTCTAAATTAATTGAAACAAAAGTGTCTCATGTCATTATTAAATGAGACAAGATCATGTAAATATGGCTACCGGTAAAATTCAGTTACAGCATTATACTTTGTACGAATTCTAACAAGAAAGAAATGCCACAAAAACATATCGAAATTCAATGAAAGTTTTGGTGGAGATGCAATGTCAGATATAATGCACAGAAGATGGTTAAAAAAAGTTTGAAGCAGATGACTCTGACCATGCTCTGAGTAGTCATCTTTAATTTATGACAGTACCACAATAAAGCAAGACCTTTTTTTTATATTAAAGATTCCGAAAAAGATTGTAGCTTAGTATACCATTTGAGACCAAGCTGTGAAACAAGGATTGATCTACAAATATTCCAGAAGGATAAAGGTCATGAAAAAAGATTGAAAATATTTTAGCATGACTGAGTTGTAATGTGCTTGCTTGGAATAAAAACAAACTCTTCTTAAGCTTGATGATAACTGATGATGAAAAGTGGATTATTTAGGAAAACACTATTAGGAAAAGAGCATAGAGTGCGTCTAGACAACCTTCACATCTAAGCCAAGCTCCAGACTGAATAAGAGAATGCTATGCATATGGTGGGTGTCCAAAGACCAATACATTATGAGGTTTTGAAAACGAATGAATGCCATCAGAAAATGGATGATTTAAATGAAGCAGTCAAAGACTGCCTTATCAACTGTCGATGGTAGTTTAAGCACCTACCATGATTATAACAGGTGATGGGGAATCAGAGTTTGATTCCAGAGAGGAAACCTGAGAAACGGCTACCACTCCGGACAGCAGTGTTCAATAGAACCATATCATACTGCATCAATGATAATGCTAGACTATTACGCTGCTTTGGCAACTTGTCAAAAAATTACAGAGCTAGAACGCAAAATTCTCTCACATCCACTGTACTCCCCTTACACAGTATTCTCTGATTATCACGTGTTTGTCTCCTTGCAGAATTTTTAAGACGGGAAAATTCAAAACTGAAGCAGATGGCAGCCAAGCATGACTTGAGTTCTTTGCCTCTAGGACAAGGTATTTTTTCAAAAATGGTATTCACAACAGTCGCATTGGCAAGAAGCCATAAGTAATGATGGAGATTAAATTGCACAGTTAAAAAAATTATTAAAAGTATGCATTTAGAATTATTATTATTAAAAGCATGAAAATTATATTATTTTCTTTCACTTCCCAAACAGACAGAATATTTCACTAGACAATATATTTACCTGATACGGCAGCTGCATTCACTGCATGCCCTCAACACAGCTGCTTATGTAAAAATGTAGGATCTAGGATCACACAATCAATGAAACCACCTTATTCGCCACAAGCTTATGAAATGAACCAATGACATCACTATGTCAACTTTGAGTGGAGGGGGAGATTACAAAAATCCAAATAACTGGGATGTATTACAGCCAAATGCATTACTGGCAATTCATCATGAGATCCCCATTTTATTTGCTTCAAGCTGCCTAAATTACATTTTGAGAAGTGTGTGTTTGTGGGGGGTGGGTGTATGCGTAAGGCTCACATTTGTGTTTTGTATTACAAGAACAGAAAAAAAGAAATACTTGAATATGTGGCAACAGGAGTTGCTGGACTGGTTGCTGTCAGTTTGAATAAAACGTTGCAGGTTCATAGAGTTTTGCATCTGTATTTTAATAAATAAATGCTAATCAACTTCAGCTCTCTATTCCGATATTATTTCAACACGTAACTTTCCTTTATAAGAGAACTATTTCTAGGAATGGCTACTAATACATCTTTTTGTTTACTGATGACACTGTCAGTAACACTTATTCACTTAACTTGACATACTCCTACTTTTTGAAGACATAATGAATAATCACAATTTTTAAAGCATAATTAATAATCAAAATTTTTTAATTTATTCCTTAGACTGTTAAAATGCATAATTTCTCCTTCACTTCATTCATGCCCACCAATAGGCACCAGTGAAATCACTGAACATTGACATTTTGGCAAGTTCAATTCCTGGCAAATGGGTCGAAGGAGATTTCATGGTCTTATGGTTTTTTCATGACTTTAGGTGAATATGAGTCAGTTCTCCTAAAAAAGGCCTCAACAAAGGCATCCTCCTTTTAGGCAGACAACACTTGCCATAATCCAAATAATCTACTCAGATTCATTCAGTATTAAAGACTTCAAAAGAAATAAATGAAATTGTTTGATGATACACTTAAATCTTCTATTTTTATGGTTGATAACCATTTCCTCAGTGAAGTTGTAAAACTTTAAAGAAAAATTTTTAAAAAATTCTGCAATAAATTTAGAGACCAACAGGAAATTACTAACCTCTCCCCAAAAAAGATTTTTGGGTAATACAGGAAATTTATGAAGCACATCATAAGCTACATTTTCCATATACCATTTGAAGGGTTTACATTGCAAGCGCTCTCGAATTGCTAGCTGTCCACTGATATCTCCATGATCATATTGTCTAGCCATTGGTTCACGAGTGTAAAAATATTCTTTATATTCATCCATCCAAACTTCCACAACTCTTTTGTAATTCTAAAATGAAACACGAAAAAAAATATTGAAGAAAAATACAGCAACATTATACTATTTAAAAGCTCAATTAAACAGTGTTTGAGTTTTGTTTTTAATAATTTTGATACTGCTTGCAGCATCAAATGTGAGCAATTCAAAAATATTAAAAAAAGTTGAATAAGTATTCTTTTGAGAGTGTTATTTAATATTTTCATAAATTTAAAAGTATGACTTAATTAGAAAAAGCAACGATATGCTCATAGCAAATTGCAAGCACGAATTTAATTAAATATGCTAAATGGTATGAGGTATTTTAAGGTATAACATACATGCTCCAAACGCAGTTGAGGCTATTATGAGATGTGATTCTGAATTTTATTTGTACTGCATTTAAAATATACATCTCTCATACACACTTGAGAAATTTGAAATCTAAAATTTTAGTTCTTATATAAAATGCTACTGAGATTTAATTTTATACTAAACAGAAGTCCTTAGAACAGCAGTGTTTATAAAACTACACTGGATTTAAGACTATGATGTACAGCACACAATAATAACTTCATTCAAAGAAATCAATTGAAAACTTTATCTGGTAATGAAACAGGAATCATTTCAAAAGAGAGAATGGTGAGGGGAGAAAGAAATTAAGTAAAAATTCATGCAAAATCTTCCATAAACTTAAATTATAAAAGTACACAACTGTTACTTACTAAAGTTACAATTGGCCCTTTGCGTTTTTCAGCTAATTTACCAAATGAATAGGGCATAAAGCCTCGATATATGTGACCAACTCTTGAGCATGGAACCCATTCTATACTTCCACCACACTGCCAAATCTACATGTTTAAAGGGAAAAGTTATGAACAAATTTGACTTTCACAATATATGCCTAAGCAAAAAATAAATAAAAGGGGAACAAAACATACCTTGAATGATAATTCAAAATTTTCTCCTCCCCAAACTAAAAGACCAGGATCATATGCACCGAGTTCTAAGAAATATTCTCTGTTTATTGCAAACAAACCTCCAGCATGTGTTGGTGATCTATAAAAGAAACAAAAACTTGAATGATTTTTTTTTTTTCCCCTCAAATTTGAAGAAAAGTCATCTAGCATACAACCCACTGAGCATGGAATTTACCTACAACACAGACATGGACATTATCTTATTTTAGAAAAGGCAAATGTATGTGCCGTGGACACAGTCAAGTGATCAAGTTCAAAGGGATTCTTCTTTTATCTTGCAATGTGAAAGCATTGACAAATTTCCCCTTATTTTCAGGAAAAAGGGAGTTTTATTGTTTAGCAGGAGTCATGCTACAATTTATTATTATTTTTCTTAAAGCAAAGATGAGTTTTCTGCTCTGAAGTTTATATTCAGTTTAAAATATTATAATGCGTATTATACAGTACAAAATCCGCAATCTGGACGTCCATTATCCGAAATGATCTATACATAACTTTAAATTCAGATTTATTTTCTACTTTTTAATTCTCCTAATCTCGTTTCCATGTAATTCATATTGTAGTGAATTTCATATATTTGTTTATTTGATTAGCAAGAGAATTGAGTGCTTACTAATATTCTATAATGTATATAATAAATAGTAAATAAAAACAAATAAGTATTTGTATAAATTCATATCAAAATTAAGTATGCAAAATTAAATAATGTCATTTTATTGTAATTTCAGGAAAGATAATTTACTTAATTTAGGGAAGAGATACTTTGTTTACTAATAAGAACAAATAAATTTTAAATCTTGGTATCTTGGTAGGAGAAATTTAAATCTTGGTATCCTCAGTATTGAAAGTAGGAGGCCTTTCTTTTTCTTTTTTCCCATGGGAAGGGAAACAGAATAAAATATCCATACTGAACAAGCCCATACTCATTCAGAAAGTCTCATGATTCATTTTAAACTAGTAGTAGACCAGATTATAGAAACAACTTTAAAACCAGAATCAGTTAATTTAGAAGTTAAACAACAAATCAGTTGTTTTATTAGCTCTTCCATTGCATTCTATCACTAGTGGGCCATATGACTAGTACAAAGGGAAGATCAAGAATGAAAGAGCAACAACTAATAATTTCAATAACAGGAAAACTTTTTGCAATATACTAATATCCTTAATGGATAGATTTTTAGCTTGTGAACTGAAGAAACCTCATTACTAACATTAACAGATATGGCACTGTGTATGATAATTGCGTGAGTATGGGTTCGTAATAAACTGAATGCACAAAAGTATATAAAATTTACTATAATCACAACAAATAAAACAAAATGTTTAAATTTCCTCAGATATACATACAGTATTGCAATATCTCACAGTAGTTATCTTTTAAACTACTCAAACGTTCAATAGAACTTATTTCAAAACAGAGAAAGCTAATCCCAATTCACCGTGAATTCGCTACAGGAAACAATAACAGTTATCCAAACAACTTTTTAAAAAACTCATAAAATAATGTAACTGAGATGTTTTCCTCCCGTAATAAGCACAAGAATATTCTGGTATTTTCTCGATTTCTCCTGAAATAAAAGCATACAATTATGAGATATCTATTTATTAAATGCGTGTGCTTTTGTATTTTTAATTTTTCGGCTTAGCTTTCTCTTCAAATAAGTCTTCTGCTGCATTGCATGGGAATATAAAACATTTTTAATTAATTCTATTTAAAAATAGCTAAATCAATACAAAAAAACATAACACTATATATCAAAACTGTGTATATTTGGTAACAACTTTTAAAATGTAGTATCAGATATGGAGTGATTCTATAACTAGGTGATCTTATGATAAAGTCTGATTGCATTAACATTTGAATTACAGTCAAAAGTCGTTAATCCGGACCTCAAAGCTGCAAACTTTCTGCGCATGCGTTCACGCGTGCGTGCAACACTTTTACGCATACGCATATGCGTGTGCGCACGCGCATAATACCTTTACGCATGCACGTTTAATGTATAACAGACGGTATAAGCTAAGCTAAAATTACCTAATTATCTATTTCAGTTAATGTTGCAGATTGCATTGTTCCTTAATCTTCGAATTGGATGCGGTTTATTATTTTTTGCAGACTGTTAGAGCAATTTTATAAAAGTAAGCTTGAACTTTCGATTATGTCAAATAGAATTTCCGATGTTGGAGCTGCCAAAGGATCTATAAAGCGAAAGTATGTTTCGATGTCCATCAAACAAAAAGTGGAATTGCTGCCAAAAATGGATAAAGGCATATCCTTTGTTTCTCTAACCATTCCGAAATCTGTTTATTAATTTCACACTGCTCTGCGGGGCGGGTACGTCGCGGAGCGTAATGAATTGGAAGTTGATCTGTCAGCACTATCATTATCTTCAGGGCAGATGTTTTTATTTTATTTGGCTTATAATTCCTTACTAAATGTAGTATTTCATCTCGATGCACTCCGTCTTTGATATGATTTAAATCAAATTCCTCGTCATTATAATTCACTTCCGATAGTGAAGAAAGTGACACAGAGGATATTGAAATTATGTCTGTTTATAGAATTAAAGAGAAAGTATTATAACATAAAACGAAGTAACTTAAACAACTTACATCGAAAGAAATGTTTAATAAAGTAAATAAATATTAAGCTTTTTTTTTTGTAAATTTTGATAACCTTTAGATTATAATTGTTATTTATTTCATAAATTACGGTTCCATATTTTTAATTTTATAATTTCTGCATGCCATCTTACCAGATTTAAACTGATGATCTATAATCCGGAATCGCCGAAGTCCCGACGAGTCTGGATTAAAGACATTTGACTGTACTAACATTAATGTGACTGGATAATGTTGTCCATCCTTTAACTGGCATAACATAGCCCTGAGACATTTTTTTACATTTAAGTGAGTTACAAAAAGTAATCACATCAACTGAAGGCTTAGTTAAGGTGAAATACATTAACAACTTGGCTGTTCAGTAGTAATGCCCAGGTACCGTTGTGTGTTGTCTGCGTCACACAGCAAAAATTTCAATGATCGGCAAAAGCCAACCTCTATGTTAAGAGTTATGTGTTGAAATCTTCAGTGAAGATGTTTTAAGGGAAATTGACAGCCACTAGGCTCACTTACATAAAGTGATGAAAACTGGATACATAAAAGAAAAATAAGAACACAGTAATAAAACATTAATAACAGTTCACTAAACATGAAAATTTTTGCCTATTATTATTTTATCAACTGTATATAAAATAAGTACTAACATACTTATATGGTTCACTGTGGTATTTTCTCCTTTTTGCTTCTTGCTCAGGTAATTCTGTTTCTTTGTAAAGCATACCCCATTCAAAAATTCCTCGAAAATGTACATCTCCATGATAAACTGGTCTGTATTCAAAATTGTCTTTATCAATTCCATCAATAACAGGAACTGTCATTACTGTCCTAAAAAAAGAAGTTACAACATTTCATGCACAAGCATTAATATTAAAAACATATTAAGCATAAATATAAAAACAGGCAAAAACAAATAATGCTGAGCTGCATAAATACTCCTTATGTAGCTTTGAAAGCCTACATAATCAGAAATTTTGTAAAGCATAAATAAAGATTGTAGTGTCTGGTCCTTAAAAGTATTAAACTAAAAAGTGGGTAATATAAATGAGAGAGAGACAGACACTGGCTTTCAGCAAAATAAGCGAAAAGCTCAATGTGACAGGTTATAAAATTAGCGATTTGTGTTATAATTAATATAGGTGTGTGTATCAGAAGTGTGATAGCACAACATGACTGGACAGAGAGTGACACGGGAGGATGATTGAATAGATGGTGAGTGCACGCTTCAATGAAAAAAACGGATGCTGTGAAAGAACGATGACGATGCAAAGATGTACCACTTCCATCGTCACTTTTCATTTGCTACTACTTCATCTGTAAATAACATCAAAATACATCAACATTCATCACAAATAGTTCAATATATTTGCCTTATCTATCTCCTCATCCCCTAGAAACCAAGCCACATACATGGTGCAAGTTTCAGTGAATTTGTTTGTCAGATAATCTCAATTTATTAAGCCCATATTTATTAAGCTTTTTGCATACTGTATTTGTAATTTATATCTGTTGATTATCTTAAACTACTATCACATACAATATTTTTTGCCAGAACATAAATTTAGAAGGAACAATTCTGGGATGTCAGCTTACCATCTTCCAAGTGAAGGGTTACCATCTTCACTTGGTAAACAGGCTGAAAGCCAAACAAGAATCAGTTATCGCTCAGATAGGCAAAACCGATGTTTCCTTCCAAGTGCGATTACTTTTCCCTGTTGTATTTTGTATTGCTCACGCACTTTTCATTTTAAACTTTATTGTTAGTTATGGAAAATAATAGAAAGGTGATGGCTATTAAGTAAATAATTTTTATCTCAACTCTGGCGAATTTAAAAGCTAAAGAGAAAAAACGTGCAAAGAGAAGTCCTATTCTTTGTAATGATCTGCTGTATATATTTGATTTTATTATTGTAAATAGTTATTTTTGTATCCATATACTTATTTAATAAATTTTGTGTACATGATATAATGACACTTACTGATATTTGTTTTGTGATGAGTCAAAAATTTGTATTTCATCCCCAAAATGTTAAATATTTCATAAAGGCTACTTGCTCAAATTTTTTGTTTAAATTTCCAAATATAGTTAAAAATGCAAAGGTTGTGTGTAAGTAGGTGAATTGTAATGACTAGCCTAATGCACTTCAATTATTTTTCAACTGTGTATTCCATATCCATCATAATCTGCAAAGAACTGATGACTACATTTGCTGACAATTATATAACCATTATATGAATTATAAGTAACTTCAAATAAACTTTTTGGCAATGTTTATTTTTTTATTCATATATATATATATATATATATAATCTTAAATCCACTTAGTGTGAAATCAATTTATTCTACTACTTGAGGAGATAATATAATCAATATTATTTAGTAAATATATATACCGGGTGACCATAATTAAACTGACATAGTGTTCTGTAGCGCGATCTCTTTGCGAGAATGTTACCACATTTTGTACGAAGATTAAACAAGACAGGGGACGAAGGATTCCGCGAAAAAACAAATTAGTTCCAAAAGTCACCGCTAGAGGAATATTTGGTGCTGTGTAATAGAAAATAGAGTGTTAACAAATGCAAATCAATACGGAAATTATCTTTTATTTTGCATTCAAATGAGGTTTAATGTGGCTGCCGTTGTTGTGGACCACATATTGCATTCTGTGCATAGTATGCACAACAGCAGAAAGTAACATGTCTGCAGGAATCTCCTGTACAGTCTGTGATATGTTATCCTTCAACGTAGCCAGGTCCTAAACCACCCCTTTATAGACCTTGGACTTAAGGTAACCCCATAGCCAGAAGTCGCATGGGGTAAGATCAGATGACCGAGGTGGCCATGCAGTTGGAAAGTAGCGACTAATGACTCTTTCTGTTGTGAATTTCTGTCATAGCATCTGTTGCACCCGTACAGCAACATGTGGACTGGCTCCATCTTGCATGAAAAAGATTTCCCCCAGGCACCGTCTTTGCTGAAGTGCCGGAATGACAAAGCTGTTCAACATGTGGCGATATTTCTCTCCGGTAACAGAACAGGTTTCCAGTCCTGTCCAGGTAATGTTCTCATAGAAGAATGGACCTACGATAAATTCCGCTGTGAACCCACACCAAACAGTTACCTTTGGTGAATGTAAGGAAATTGCTGTGACTGCGTGTGGTGATTTGTCATCCCAAATTTGGCAGTTCTGGGTATTCACAGTTCCATTCAGATAAAAGTGGGCCTCGTCTCCCCTAAGATTTTCTACGGCCAAGCATCATCCACCTCCATTCTGGCAAGAAAGGTGAGAGCAAAAGTCAATCACTTATCATGGTCAGGGTACAGTAACTCCTGTACACGGCTGACATTGTACGGATAGAAGTTGATAATCTTTCGTAAGATTTTCCATACCGTACTGTAAGGCATATACATATTCTGAGCTACTCCACGAGTGCTAGAGGTGGCCGCAATATTGTCTGGTCCTCTGTCGACAATCGCCGTGGCAACTGCTTCGATTGTATCCTGTGGTACAGGTTTTCGTCCTCTGCCTGACTGAACCTTCAGAGAACCTGTTTTCTCAAACGTCGCAACCATTGCATTTAGCCCATTAACTGACACAGGACTGTTACCTTTACGATTTTTTTTTTTTTTTTTTTTGCGTTCTAAAAGCACGAAGAGCGGCTGACACGTTGCACTGGTTGAGGTAAAAGAAGTTGACCAGTAACGCACGCTCGACTAAAGAAAGAGACATTGCACATAAACTTTCAATCTGATTGATTCGAAACATAACACATTGCCTTTTAAAACCCAAGCAGCTGGCCCTGTGCGAATGGATGTAATGTGAAATTTGAATAAAGAACTTCTTCTTCTGCTCAGCGTACGTGATAATGCAGATCACGAGACTTTATTGGTGTTTATGTAGATTTTACGCTTTTTTAAAAGTGTTGCTATTTTGCACTTGAATTAAATCAGAAAATGAGCATAATAAAAGGTAATTTTATTCTGTATTAATTTGCATTTGTTAACACTCTATTTTCTATTACACAGTGCCAAATATATCCCTAGCGGTGACTTTTGGAACTAATTTGCTTTTTCACGGAATCCTTCGTCCCATCTTGTTTAATCTTCCTACAAAATGTGGCGTCATTCTCGCAAATAGATCGCGCTTACAGTACACTGTCAGTTTAATTATGGCCACTCGGTAATCTATGCTTTAATAAATATACATAATCGCTGATTACGCAATTTCAATTTAAAAGTAATTAGCAGAAAAGTAAAGCGTGCATATACAAACATATTTAAAAGAATTATTCCCCTTAAAAACTCAGCGGCGCAAACAGCCCTAACGGGCCAAGGCCTGCCGTGTCCCAAAATCTGCTTTCTTGTCCGGGGACCCCGGGATGCGCGAGCATATGACCTGAACAAGTAGGCAGCTTGTTATAGGACCCCCAGCTTTTAGTTCCCAAGCGAACTCGGTACTTATTTTATTGGCCCAAGGAATGGAAATCAAGGGATGAAAGGCTTAGTCTACCTTGCCCAGCCGGGATTCGAACCCCGAACCTGTGGTACTGCTGCACAATATGTTAGCCACCAGGCCTTATTTCCCTTAAACTTAGTTAAAAAATTCTATTAGATAACAATAACATTCTTTTCACATGGTTAGCCCGAAATATGAAAAATTTGACGCCGAATAATTTGTAAACAAATCATCAGAAATAGCATGTCATAAAATATTGTCTACTCTGAAATTCCCGCAATTATAAATTTAATGAATATGTAAACATTTAAAAACAACTTAGACACCTATACTTCAACAAAACAGCAATATATATATATAAGGCTTTTTTCGTATTTCTTCAATTAAATCGGCATCTATTTCCACCGTCCATGATTTCACAACAAGAGCCATCGCCTTATTGAAAATTACTGTGATCCTTCAGAAACGGAACTTTCGTCTGATTGGTTGAACGTACGCGGAACATGTCTCCAGATGGAACATTTTCGGGAAAATTTCAAGATATTTTGCCTAGCTAGACAAAACATTTCTCGGAAGCCTCCCACTTAAAGCAGTGCTACTAGAATCTCGTTTCTTGGAAATGTCCCACCTAGCCGCGCGCTTTGATAGAAGTGATAAGGCCCTAACTAAATTAAGAAACATTTGTTGCTTCAAAATTACACTTCAGTGATTAGTGGCAGTACAGCAGGGTACTCAATAATTCTCATGGTCAATGGAAAAATGCACAAGCAACATTCTTTTAATGTTTTTATAGTAAGAACTTTCCAGATGAAAGTGATAACTGCTTCGTTCATAAATTTCCTTCAAATATGATAAGAAAAGAGCTTTATTAACTCTGATACATTTTTTTGCATTTCATATCAATAGTTTTTATTCAAATAATGTTTCTTACAGTTCCACTTCTCACTGGAGTATTTTAACAACCATTCTTAATGCTAAATGTAGCAAAAATGTACTTAAACAATGATATACCGTAATTTCCTGGAAGAAACGCCGCGGTGTTTACGTGTTTAAAACTTAAATTTTCAGCGGGTGCGGCGTTTAGGTGCACTAAAAATAAAATATTTCCTATGATGGTCATTGTACATTGTTTGGATGGCCTTGTCATTGTGCATAGACTGGTTCTGTTCCCACACAAAAGACCACTCAGTTGCTTTTTGCAAACGTTATTTTGTTTACATTCTTTCCCTTGAACGAACCTACATGCCTTATTCACCCTAAACGAGATCTCAGAACAATAACATTCTTCCCCCTTTCAAATCCACATTCTCATCAGTTTGAATAGTCTCTCTCCTCTGCCATTCCATGAATCTTCCAGGACCCATCCTCTCCCCACCCCTGCCTTTTCTGCAATTTTTTTCAAAGGTGGACACGACTCCACCTGCCTCGCAATAACGAACTCTGACGTATTTCCCCTTCAGCCTGAATGGATTTTTCTTGGCATTCTGCCAAATACAGATTCCATCAGTTTGAGTACAAATACTTGTTGGATAGTTTTTAATTAGGGAGTGGAACATTTTTGAAAATGTCTCTAAATGGCACAGAAGCTATACATTTCTTACCTTTAATTTATTTTTGAGTTATGGTTTCATTTCATGCATTTTTCTTAACTGATATGTCATAATTCAGGACTTAGGTTGAGTTTTTGCATCTATACGGCCCAAGACGATGTCACGCGCAATTTAATCTATTGCGGCGTTTACGCTGATGCAGCCTTTCTTCCGGAAATTACAGTAATAATAATTATTTTCATATTGAAAATATGCTATTTGGGTACAGCATTTAATTTTTCTTCAATAACAAAATCATAAACCTAAAAAACTGTGTTCCACTCCATTACACAGTATCACACATGTTTTTTTACAGATATTTTGCATCTTTTGTCATCCATAATACAAATGTACACAAATTTCAAGTCAAAAATCACTATTCACAGATGAAATCCTTGTAATTTGCTAATAAAAATCATATTATTTGAAAAAAGAAGTAAAAAAGCATTAACTAATAAAATACAAAGAAAATACTACCAAACATAGCAATAATTAATTAAAACACAAATTAGCAATTAAACAGAGGAAGCCTCTTTTTTGTAATCAAGTGGTATTTAGAACAGATGAAGGAAGTGGTATAAAGCTGAAACTGAATAACTCAAGCTGTCTCTGTTAGCCCCAAAATTACTATATCCTAATTTGTTTCCTTGCTGAAAAGCAATACCTTAATGAGGCAATAGTTATGCATGCTACAAACTCATTTAATGATAATGTTGCTTGCTCATTTTCTCCAGACTTTGAAACCCAGGCAAAACAAATGTTTTCGGACAACTTCTTTGTAAAAAAAAAATGTATTATAAATTTGTTCAAGAATTTTTTCCTGAATGGATCACATTATCGTATTTTATATTGCTTTCTATGAAATTTTTTTTTTTTCGCGTAATGTGTGTTTGTATTAGATCAGGGAAACATTATGTTTGTTAAGTGAGTTTCCACTATATACTTCCTTATTTTTAAGACAGCCATTTTTAAAGTGATAAATTGCTTCACTTGTCATGAGCAGAGCTGTAAGTAAGCCACAGGTTAACAAATTTTCTTTTTTTCAAAAATATGTTGGCAACTTTTGATTTACTGACAACTGAAGAAGATAAGAACTGTAAGCAGGCCACATGTTAATGTATTTTCTTTAAAAGAAATGTTAATTTTTGATTTACTGATAACTGGGAAAGATGTTATATTGTTCTTTCAAGAAAGAGACATTTTACTTTGCACTGAAATATGTAAAAATGGCCATGAAATAAAAATATATATCAGTAAATGCATTTGGAGGCGAAATGCAAAAAAACTGCAAGTAAGAGAAAAGCATATGTTCTGACGGGTGTTTCAGTGGCTCCAAAATACTGTTCTGTAAACAGCACTGCAATTTTATTTACTATTGGATACAGGGACTGACACCAATTAAATTGAGGAAGAAATAACGGTTGATCTTTACATTACGGTAACTGGTAGTTTGGCGACATTTTGGAGGCGATAAAGGTTACTACCTGGGACTTTGGTAATAACGTGAGCAGTACTGAGTTCCGATTACGCATTATTTTGTGTGGGGGAAATGAGAGATCATGGGATATGTCATGTGATATTAATGGACGAATTACGGTTCTTTAATCGGAAGAGATCATGGGATATGTCATGTGATTTTAATGGACGAATTGCTGTTCTTTAATGGGGAAAAATCTGGGAATTTCATATTTGGCTTTATTCTGTGTTGTGTGAAATAGTGTTTGTGAATTTTTGGATCCCATGGCCGTAAGTAAAGTGAATTCGAAATGGGTATTTAGTGGTATTGAAAAGGATAGTAAGAAATGTTTTTTAAGGTTGTGTGAGAGAGAAATAAACATGTTTTATTATGTTATTTATTTTACGTGGTATCTTGCTTTGAAAGATAAGTATGATTTTAAAGATTCTGAAAGAGAATGAAGAAAAGTGTATCCGCCACGTAATGAAGATTCTGAAGGAGATTAGGTAAGTTAGTATTTTTAATTATTTTTATGCATTGTTGGAAATGTAAGGTGGAAAGGAATTTGGTATTATTGGGAAAATTGTTATTACCAATGATTTAATTTAAAGTAATTAGGATTGTAAGGTAATTTTTTATTAATTGAATGTATGTGCTCATGTATATTTTAAGTGGTGTTTTTGAATTTAATTATATTTTAATGAAATGATAGTTATTTTGTGAATTTTATACTTGTAGGAATTTGGTGTATGTTTAAGTTGAAATAAATGTGCATGGAAATAATTTAAATATTTGATAATAAATATTTGTAATGCTTCATGTATGAATTCGTTGGTGACGTGTATAATGTAATAGATGATTTAGAGGTAAAAGTTTTTGGATATTTTATTTATTTTATATGTGGAAATGTTCATATTTGTAAAGGGTAAATACTTTTTTCGCGATCAGGTAATTTCATATATGTTCTTTTTACCGGGTTTAAAGATTGAGAAAAATTGTCATGTATTTTCGCGAAATTTTTCGAATTTATGAGAAAAAAGCAGTGTAGTGTACATGGATATAGTGAAGAGTGTGCGCAATGCCATTTTTGTGCAATTCTGGGATGTTTTTTTAAGTAAAAATAAGTCGGCGTGTACATGGTTTATGTGTATGTGTTATTTTGAAAAACGCGTAAGGTGTATGGTATTGTGCACTTTTTCCGAATTTTGCAGTGAATATTTGTCATGATTAAGCAGTTTTGTTTGATAAAATTTCTAGCATAAGTGTAATTCGGCTAGTAGATTGTTGGAAGAAGTGTTCAGTAGATAAAAAGAAAAGAAACATGTCTTTACTTCGTGAAGACAAAATGGTGGCGGGGAAAAAAATGGTGGCGGGGAAAAAAAAAATAGAGGGTTGCTGTAGGGGAGTTGGTCGCCAAATTTTCGCCAAAAAATCGCCAAGTTACCGTAATGTAAAGATCAACCGAAATAACCTTTGCAAAAATATGATTACTGACCAGGAGAATTTTACGAGAGATCTATCTTCTATACATTCAACCTGATAACCAAATAAATGAATAGGTGGCCATGGCATAACTGTGGAAATAGATGGTAGTCTCTTTGCCCAGTAAAATAAAATATAAAAATATGAAATAGTAAAATAAAATAAAATATTGAAAGCCAGTATAATAAATAAAGCCAGTATGACTGAGTACTTTATTGTTCAAGTTCCAAATAAAGAGGAAACCACACTCATGGCAAAAATCATGGATCACGTACAAGCCTATTTATTCAGACTGTTTAAGAGAATGCAAAACAGAGGAACTGGGAAACACTTCATAGTGAATCATAAATTTTATTATATGGATCTGAAAACGGCTGCACATACACAAATTATTGAAAAACTAGGGCTCCAGTAAGTGGCAAAATTAAAAGCAATGAGGCACGGCTTATCATTATCTTGAGTTCTATCTTGTGGGATTAATGTGGAGAAAATCCTTATGATTTGAAAATGTGTTTGATACCATATTAAAAGCAATCGCAGAAATATGGTAGATAGAAACTGTATGTGGAAAATAAACAGACATTTCAATAAGACATGAAATTTTGGTGCACCATTATCATGGGATCTATTAAGATAAAGAAGTACCCTTTATATTCTAGTGTGAAGATTACCCAATGCAATTTTTTTTCTTTGGCAGCTATCCCTTACATTAGTTTACAGATGTCTTGAAATTTAGTTGACGACAGAGATGAAAAATTTTCCATTCATAACGATGAAAAAATATCACAAATTTCTGCACCTTATTTTAAGAAAATACATATCTATTTACAAGTATCTATAAGTCTGTAGCCATCTTTTCCGACTACACACTAAAAATTAATCCCTCCCAAAAAATACCATAACTACATTTAATGCATGATAAAAAATAATTTAATACAAAAACACACTAATTATACAGCAATTATGCAATTTTAATAAATACAAAACTATTGTGTGTCTAAAATTACATTATAAAATTGTATAAATTATTTCTTAACAGATATGTACACATCTATCAAGAATCTCTATTTTAAAACACAATAAAGATAATAAAGATATATAACCTGTTTTGATAAATTGGTGTCAACAGAGGAGGAAGCCAATTTACATTTACTTCACAATGAGCATCTAGAAAAAGCACAACTTCGCCTTTTGAATACTGAGCTCCAAATGTTCTAGATCGAATAAGGCCTTCTCTTTGCTTATTTCTCACTAAGCGCACTCTTTTCCCAAACTGGCGAATATAATCTTCTAAATTCCCTTTTAAGTGTTCTTTGCAGACAAAAATTAATGAAAATAAAAAAGAATTAGTATAGATTCTGCACAAGAAGCAAAAATTATAACATAAAGCAAACATAAATGATAAAACATAAAAATTATAACATAAATGATATATCCAAAAGTGTAAAGTCATCACATAAAAACACATTTTTTATATCTTTCATGAATATAAAAATTTGAAAAGAATGTTGATGCAATGAAATTTTGATATTCAGTTTTGTTAGTCCAAAGGGGCTTTGTTCCTGACGGACTACAGTTTTCGTCACTTTTTCGAATCACTCTGAATGTCCGTTTCACTTTTCAAATTGTTGCCACCAAATATTATCACCCTGTATTATATTTGAAGAAATTAAATAATGAAGAATCTCCATAAATATATGCATGTTTCTCACATTCTGATAAAACAAAGGTACCTAGAGCCATCAAATTTTGAATGACGTAATCATACTGCGAATATGGACATCTGGAAGCCCAAATTTGAAATTTGTTTCATTATCAATTTCATATTTTGTAAAACTTTAACGAATTTTTGATTAACAAATTCAGGGATTTCAAAGGGAGCAATGGCAACATTGCACAGAAAAAACATTTTTACCTCCAGCATGCAAGACTGTGTATTGGAAATTCTAAAGATATGCTCATTTTAAAATTATTTTGCAATACTGCTTTTGAACTGAATTTTATGGTTTAAGTGCGAAGAATATGATATTTAATAAATAAAGGTAACACATAAAATGTTAAAAAAATGCCCCTTTGGACGTAATTTAAAATCTGAAATCTTTCAGATTTCTTTTTGCTTTTCCTTTGTTTTGAAATTTTTTCCCCAAAATTTTTATTTAGATTACAGTAATACAAATAATTTGCCCAAGTTTATGAATACATACTTGCCAACCTATGACACACAAAAATCAGGAGATTTTTTTAAGAAATCAGGAGATTTTTCACAATGTTAAAAAGACTTTTTAAATGATAAAAATATAGTTTTTAATAATGAATGAACTTTAAGTAGTAACTAATTCTTAAATGCAAGCAACACAAAAATACCTTACACATAAAAAAAATTTTTACTACACGCATCGTTTAAGAAAAGAAAAAAAAAAAAAAGACACTTTAATCAGTTTTCGTACAAATGTTATAAACAGTGGCAGATTTTGCTTTCTTTAAGAAAGAAACTTCATCATTGTGTTCACAGCAATTGCCATGTAGGCCTGCTTTCGCTAATAAAAGTTTTTCTAATGTGCCATCTCTAATATTAGATCTAAATTTAGTCCTCGTTTTCGCAACAACACTGAGGATCCTCTCGCACTCTGCATTACTATAGTGAACTGTCAAGATGGCCAACACAATTCTAGACAGTTCACTACATTTTAAAATTCCATCAGCACCTTTCAGTTTTGCAATTAAACTCCACTGGGTGTCAATCGTAGCTGATTTTATAACTTCATCCAAGTTTTCTAATTGTAAACTGCTGTTATGCAGCTGTTGGAACTGTTTCAATTTTTCCTTCCTTTTAGAACTCCTTTCAAGATAATAATAAATATCAACAATGTGTTCATCCACATTTATTGGTAAAGAAGTTGCCCCTTTATCAGCTGCTAAATTTAAGAGGTAACAGGTGCACCTCATAATCTGAATTTTCCTTTCTTAAGATGCCTGCAACACCAGCCTTATAAGCCTACAAATACTGGTGAATTATCGGCACCAAGTGCTAAGCAATTATCCAGAGTGCCTGCAGTTTTCTTTTAAAGTTTTAATAATTAACTGTGCTATATTAAAGCCTGTCAAATGTCCTTCTAAAGTGGGAACATAAAGTAAACTGCACTCAATTTCTGAAGACTCTGGATCAAAAAAAGACACAACAATTGGATACAGTTTTGAATCGGTATTATTGCTTTCCATCAGTAGAGAGGCAGACCGGAGCTGTTTTAATGCAATCAATAACTGAAGATTTATTTTTCAAACCCATTTCTTTAACAATTGCACCTGTTTTGATTCTTGCACCTTGAGTATTTCTTAGCGATTTCACTATCGGGAAACATTTTTCTAAATAAAAGCTGCAGCGTGATCCGATGCATTCAGTGGAAAGGTTGTGCTCCAGTAAAAAGGCAGAGAACAGACATTCTGCATTAATAACTTTTTGGTCCTTTGTTTCCGAAGAAAAATTTAATTTTTCGTTTTTTTCAAAACAACTCATGTTATCCTTGTGTTTTTGTGTACGCACATGTTTGAGAACATCCGCCCTTCCAACATACGAAATCGAAAAATCGCAACGACAGGCGGTACACATCGCAAATTTATTACATTTCTTTGAGGAAATAATGGAAGGAAAGTCAACTGTGTACGATTTTTGAAACGTACACGAGTATTTCACCTTTCTCGCAGACGTAACAAAAGATGATAATTTTTGTCACTCACAAAGCAGAAGCTATCTGATTCGCAAGGTTTTTAGATATGATGTAGAGAAAATTCAATTGCTTTCAGACGTCCAAAAGCACTTTTTTTATACATATAACAAAGTATTAAGCCAAGTTGCATAAAAATCGTGAGAAATTTTAAGAATAAGAAAAAGTCGGGAGAAATATATTGTAAATCAGGTTGGCGGGAGAGCGGTCGAAAATCGGGAGTCTCCCGCCTAAATCAGGAGAGTTGGCAACTCTGTGAATATTTTAGCCTGATGTGATTTTGCATTATGATGCTTTCTTATGAAGATTTTATTTTTCAGTGCCAGAATTTGCTAAATTATCTTTTTCACTAGAATTGTACCACAGATGCCATTTAAATTTTTGCATATGTGCAAAGAGAAAGAAATGTGCTCTAAAATTTATGCGACTAAAACATCTGATGTATACACCATATACATCAGATGGTGTATACATCAGATGACATCAGTGATCATGACTTCCTTGTAAAATATTAAATTATATGATTTTTTCCCCCTTGCATTTCATTTAAGCTTATTGGACTGAATTAAGCTACTTCATCGATAGCGCATAAATCATGATAGAATAAATGCACTCTTAAAAATTCACTATATTTGTTTATCATAGAGACTGGTGCTATAACAATGTTATATTTCATTCATTTTACAACACAGAATGAACAAAATTTATATCATCTGAAGAATTATCTAATCATTGCCACATGTTCTATTCAAATATAATAATAAATCTAAAACGATGTATGAAAGAAATTAAAAAAAAAGTTTTTCACAAACGATTCAGTATTTCTCAAATTCAGTCCTCACTTCACTACAAGGCTAAAATGCATAAAAACTCAAAATATCAATATTAAAAATTACAAAGTAAATCTTAAACACCTATTTCCTTCAATAAATTCCAGAATGGATTAAGCATGATTTAATTTGCAACAATAAAAGAAGGCATTATCTTTGTTGTTGTGAAGCTTAGTTTCTCTAGATTGGCAACAAATCCACTATTCTGCAAAGTTTCAAATGTAAACAAACATTGAAGCCATGGCAAAAATAATTACTTAGCCGCACTTAAATAGCGTTTAAAGTGTTGATAATTCTACAAATATTGCATTCAAATTTACTAAAGGCCTAAAAATCTTAACCAGAAGATAAGAACAACATAATTCAATCATTTTTAAAGCAAAAAAATGCACAATTTGCAAACATATAAGAATAAAGAAACTTAGATGAGTAACAGAGGGGATCTATATATACATATATTTATATATTTTTGATGCAGCCGATTGCAAGCATAATTCAAGGTGTATATCTACATGTTATAGCAGTCTTATATACAAAATTTCAACGTTCTGAGGCTACTTGTTTTCGTGTTATACAAGATACGTACGTACGCACAGATGCGACGAAAAATTCTCTTCAGAATTCATTTTAAATCAGTTTTATAATTTTGTTAGAGTCTTTTATTCTGTCCTTACATGCAGATGTCAAGCAAAAACATCGTTAAATTGCATTCTATAGCTGTCAAAATGGATATCTTTGTTGAAATATGATGCCTGAAACTTTTTGCGATTACAATACTTCTTTTTTAGTTTTTTTTTTTTTTTTTTTTTTTTTTTAAAGAGAGAAACAAAATGCCTAGAACTCAAACTATATATTCCATAATTTTTTCTGCAAAACTAACGGAGAGAAGAATACGATTTAAATATTTCTCCTTTCCTCTATCTAAAAAAAAAAGTCTGTCCAAAATTTTATAAATCCAGTTTCATTCAAGTAAAGAATTCTGTATGACAAAACTATGAAAATGCTTAATAAGATTGTGTCTCTTTTAATAAACTGCACATATTTATAGTTAAGACTCTAGCTACAGGAGATTTATGCAAACATGTCTCAGCAAGCACATTTATCTTTTTTTTTTTTTTTTCCTTTGAATTAAAAATGAAGCCTCACAGAATGAATACCTTTGGACTCTAAAACTGATGCAGCATCAAAGTTCATGAGCATCCCAGTTGTTCTTCTATGAAAAGAATAAATCATGAAAGACAAAAGAGAAACCAAAAAGAAGCCTGAAATCATGCAATATGATTAATGTGTTCAAAACAATTTAATTTTAAAAGTCTGAAAGATGATGCTCTTTTAGAAATTTCTGAGAACATTCAACATTTAATACCTACCAAATCTAAAGGTAGACAGAACACTAATATTTTGTATTAATATCAAACTGATGTTTACATTGACCCCTTGAGAACAATTTAATATAAAAAATAACATTAAAAAATTAAATCAAGAAGCTAAACATAAATAAACATAAATAAAACTTAAAAATAGCTTAAAAACAAGCTATATTTAAGCAAAATATGCAGCTATTTTTCAGTTTTACGATAAAAAGTAAATTATTCCAGAAAAGCATTAAATTTCACACATATGTTACAAATAGGAATTTTTATTTCAAACATTGCTCTTCCATATATACATTTTTTAAAACTAAAAGTAAGTTTAACAGCTCAAAATGTTGTTTATAAATAAAAACATATGTACTGTTACGAATTTTGTATTTAAATAG